GAAGATAATATGTTTGTTCCATACTAAATTTCGTATGGATAACTCACGCACAAAATTCAAGGAAAGTATTTATTCGTGGTTTATATAAGAACAGATCTAGGTAGCATTCCCTTGACCTGGTCCAGCTTTCGTTGCAGCCCTGAGAGGGGGGAGGGGGAGGGGATGGGAGGGGAAGGGGGAGGGGGGAGGGAGGGATGCGCAAGATGCAACGGGAGCGCTCGGCGTGAGTTTCATGCAGTCGTGTGCTCTGGGGACGGAGTGGTCATACAAGGACACATGCACGATCAGAAACAAATACTCAAACATAGACATACACAAACACACAAACACACAGATCACACACACTTGCATACATTTGTACGTGTATGTTTACATGTGTGTATATATATGTAGATATAAACCTATGATAGTCAGATGAAGCCTGAACCATTTTCTACTAACCTAAAAACAAAAAAGAAAACAAAAAAACAAAAAATAACAAAAACAGGAAACAGAATCGACCAACGTCCATACCTCTTGTCACGTGGTCGCTGCGCCGCCGCCCACGAGGTAAGCGAGTCCTGCACAGCCGCCCACGAGGTTGAAGGGCGGGGCGGAACAGAGAGACAATACGAATGCACGTATTTTCATCCACTTTTTAATTTTTCTCACTCTGATTCTAAATTCATGTAAAAGATTATCTATGTGTCTCTATAGACATAAATATATACAAACTCATACACTTTTTCCTCTGCACACGAATCTAGTAAAAAGAAAGAAAGAAAGAAAGAAAAAGACAAAGGAAAAACAAAAACCCAAAAAAAGAAAAACATCAAAAGTAAATAAACAAAGATAACGAAGGATAACAACACAACTTGACATTTAACTCCAAAACTAAGACATCCGTTAACGATAGAGAGAAAAAAGGACGATTTGCCGCTTGCATCTGTCTCGGCGCCATGACAGGAAGTGGGTCACGCGCGCGCAAGGGGTCGCCCTGGAGGTCTTGGGGGCGGGAGGGGAAAAGGGAAGGGAAGGGAGGGGAAAAGGGAAGGGAAGGGAGGGGAAAAGGGAAGGGAAGGGAGGGGAAAAAGGGAGAAGGGAGGGGAAAAGGGGGGAAGGGAGGGATAGAAGGGGAAAAGCAGGGGGAAAGGGGGGAAGGGAGAAGAAGGGAGAGGAAGGGAGGGATAGAAGGGGAAAGAGGGGAGGGAGGGGGATCGAGGGGAAGGGAGGGATGGAAAGGGAAAGGGGGGGAGGGAAAAAAGGGGAAGGGAGAGGAAGGGAGAGCAGAAGAGGAAAGGGGGGTGGAGAGGGCAGGAGGAGAAGGGGGAGGAGAAAGGTCAGAGGGGTGAAGAAAGGGGAAAGGACAAAGAAGCAAAATAGATAGAATGATGATAAAAGGGTGAAACTGCAATGATAATCCTAAACCTTGCGAGCACAGTGGCAACGATAATAATAATGTCAATAGAAATATTCAAGCTGCAAAAACAACTGATGATGATGATAATAATAGTAATAATACTATTGATAATGATAAAAATAACAGTGACTACATATTACTTCGATCATAGCATGATGACCGAAGTAATATGTAGTCACTCAATAACTCTTACCTCAATTACCTCCCCCCCCCGCCAGGATCCCGAGGGACGAGCGAGAAACGCGGGACACTCATGCCTGGGGGCTGCCGGCGGTCGCTGGACAGGGACGAAATTGTTGCGTCAGGGTATCTTATCGAGGCAGGATAATTAATTCTTAGAGATATGACTGCACACACACAGACACACACACAGACACGGTAGTTGTAAAAAATGCTTGCACTCGAGCCTGGTCTCACGGCGAGGAAACAACATATCGCCTTGAGAAATCAAATGCAGGTGTCGTAGGGGAAGTCGCCGTCGCGGCGCTGAACCACAGTTGATTAGGAAGGGCATCCATTCAGGTACGGGTGGTACTGCCAAGTGACCTCAATAATAAATTGGGAGAGATCCTGCAGTGGAATGAATGGCTGTTGGTCAAACAAACAAACAACACACGCGCCCACATACACACATTTATATGTATATGTGTGTGTGTGTGTGTGTGTATGTGCGCGCGTGTGTGCATGTGTGTAAGTGTATGTATGCATGTATACACACACACACACACACACACACACACACACACACACACACACACACACACACACACACACACACACATATATATATATATATATATATATATATATATATATATATGTATATATATATATGTATATATATATATATATATATATATATATATATATTTATACATATAATGTGTGTGTGTATTATGTATATACATATACATATACGTATAAATAAATAAAGCAATTGACAAATTTAAGTATATAGAATATGTCTTTTTTCAACAACCATTTATTCCACTGCAGGAAATCGGCCTCTCTCAATTCATTATTTGAGAGGTTATTTGGCAATCTCACTCTTGCCTAATTGGATTCCCTTCCTAATCAACCGCGGTTCGGCGAGCTAACACT